ATTCGTCTTGAAATTAAACAAATAATAAAACCTGTATATAGAAGTCTACAATTAGTATCACTGACATATACATTACGAATTTAAATACCTCACTATTCAAATAAAAACATTTCTAAACTCAAAATGCGATCAGAACCTGATTGTTTTTCAATAACTACCCTTCAAATAGTCTTTTTACTATGACGTAGTACTACCAAGCCTTTGTGAGCCGGATTTTTTTTCATCTTTTCATCTCTCATATACTTCATTACGAATCTATACCAAGTTGATATTAATCAATCGTCTAGAAAGTTGTCACGATCGATATCAGAATCGCCACATCCGTAGTAAGACGGCGGAGTTGGGTGATTGGGTTTTTTATGAAAATCTCCTTCTACGGGGGTTCGTCTGAAACATGCTGCGTTATCAGAGGCTTTCAAGAGTAAGGCTTCGAAGGCGTTGAAGGCGTGTTTAAATCACACCACGCCTCTATTGGGCGTGTTCGCAATATAAATATGAATATAATATAGTTGACGCTAAACCTTTTATAATATATGACAGTCGTAAAACACTTATAGTCTCATTTGGAGATGCTTTTAACAATTTAATTTTAGTTCAAATATGACATCAGTATAATAATATTTTTTGTGAATTATATTTTCCAAAAAAACGAATATTTCAAAATTTCCTTGCTTTTTTTTATTCAGATATATTTTGCTTCTACTACTAGATTTCAAAATGGTCTCAACAATATTATATTAATAATATTTTTATATGATATTAATTAATTAATCTTTGTAAAATAGACGAATATTCAAATAAGTATTCCTAAATGTAATTCGAAAAGCAGCACAAAAAGTATAATGAAATCTATAAAGCATATTTGAAGTCTGAAAACGGAGGCGGAGCTAAGCTTTTCAACGAAAATGTACGAAGTATCCCGAAAGCATACGAAGCAGAAAACAAGCAAAAGGAAATCTACTGGGAAATGAACCCTAGCCCGTAATATTTTCCCCCTGTGAAGCCTTAAATTCTATACGCTTGTCGGGGCAAGGAAGGTCTCGTTATACTGGTGCGCCGTGTGAGAAAATGCACGAAAACCGAGGGATGAAAGGAATCGTCCAGGACCCGTTACGTAACGCCAGTTGAACATCAACGTTGACGCAGGACGCACGTTCGATAGGTTTCTAGAACAAACAATAAACAACGTGTTTATATACGTAAACAACAAATTTGAAAAGTTCTTACGCACTTCGGAAAACCGGTAAGTACTTATAGGTCTAGTGTTGCGTGTTTACTTAGTGTTGCAATTATTTTGGTTTATTTTTTTATATTAATTGCGTAATGTTATTATGATTTTATTAATATTTAATTTATGTTAATTTTGTTAATATATATATTTTTACTTTATACTTTCAGAGATTAATTAAAATAGGAATTAAATATTTTAAATACACATATTCTGATGTTTATTTTATGTATATATAAATATATTTGAACAAATATAAAAGTTTTTTTATTCAATACTTCTGATATGTACATACAAAAGTTGCTATTGCCATTTAAATAAATAAGTATATCATGTCATAATTCAACCAATTGTTTTAAAAAATACGTTTTATTGTAATGTCGTGTTATTAATGAAATTATTATATTATATTATTTTTATTAATGAAATTGTATAGAATACATACTATAAATTATTTAAGATCTTAATAAATAAACTGAAATGAAGTGCGAAAAGTTTTTCGTTACACATTAAAATTATAAAACTTCTGTAACACGGCGCTGATATAAAAAGAAATAAATGAAATCAAATCAAAAACTATATAATTTTTTTGTTTATTTTAAACAAGTTACGGAATAAGTTATTTATATATTATATTTACCGGGGAACTCTATTCCGCCTAGAGGCCATAAATAACCAGATATTGGTAATTGTTAAGATTTGTTTTTTCTTTTTCGATTGAACAGAATTAAATATCCTATATCCATTTCCTGGTTCTAAGCTATCTCTCCATCAATTTTCAACCATATCCCTACTGCCGTTCTTGAGTTATAAATAATGTAACTAACCAACTTTCTTTTATATATAAAGATTTTATTTGATTTATAAAAATCTAAACTGACTTCAAAACATAAATTTTTAATCATAATTTTTCCGATTTTCATAAACACCCAAACATATAGACTCTACATATTAAAATAAACTAAACAATAAATATTAAAAATAAATAAATACTAAATATAAAAACAAAATACACTCACAACAATCTCCAAACGTCACCACGCATGATGCACCCCTCATAAACCCCTTGTTTATATTAGCGACCCTCACAACAAACAGAGAAAACTTACGAGTTTAAATTTTAATTAAAGAAACTACTTCTGTTTATTCTTAGATTTATTTATTTTTTTCTACTATAAGCTGCCTTTAAATTTTTTCTGTTCATAATTGCATTATTTTGTATATATTCCGTAATACCGTAAAACTTCCTTGAATAGGATTATGAAATAATTTCCAGTTAATTAAACATAATATGTTTATAAAAAAAAAACATAGATAATAGGAAATTATAATTTAAAAAGGTTACTCACTTTAGTAAAAATTGTAAGGTTACTATTTCTTTAAATGTTAAACACATATTATTATTATTTTAAATTTCATACAATTTTTATAGTTTCATCTACTTTTTTATAACCCAATGTACGAAACCTTTTATTTAAGTTTGTTTTTATTTCTCTTATTAACAATTTATAAAATTCATATGTCTTCATTTTCTGACCGTACTCGTAATTTTTTATCAAACAAATAATCATTTATGTATTTTATTACATACTAAATGTAATTTATATCATACATATTTTTTTATGAAAAAGTGATTGTTACTTAAAATTAAATAAATAAGCAAATTAAAAAAATATATATAAAATATTCATAATGGCATTGAGCTAATTAAAGAAAAGCTGATCTGAATATTTAATTGGCCAGCCGGAGGGTAATAAGCTAACCGCGCTCGGATTAATAATTCACAGACTGAACAATTGAATCTGCTCGCGATACCTGTATTAAATATGCAAATTAGTTATTTATTCAAGTCGTGCCACTTTCTCAAAGGGGATCTTTATGAAAACTTACTAATTTGCCTCCTACCTCTCATAAATGTATCAAGTTATGTCAACTTCAAGCTGTGACAGCCTTTGTTTCTACTTAATTGTCGCGAACTGGTTGAATGTCATACATCCAATTTGGATATTGACATACGAATTGTATCAAACCTTCTTTGTTGTTATTAAAACGACACGCTGACGAAACTTTTGTTTACATACATAAATTTTTGGATTAAAATATTTATATATGCTTTTTACTAATGCAGTAATTAGTTTTCGTATAAATCACAAATTATAATTGTGAAATATTCAGTCTGACAAAAATATAATGCTCTACGATGATGCTAGTTATATATTATGTATGTCTTTTCATTGTAACTCAATTGCCGTTCAAAAAGAAAATTTTTAATATAAGCAGCATTAAAAATTAGTTTCGAAATTGATTCAATTCAACCAAACGAAATATTTAAAAAACGGGTTTCTGAGGTTTTAACACTCGTAATGAAAAAAAATTACCTTGAATTTGACAAATTCATGAACGGTAATCCAATTAATAAAATAATTTTTATCTAGGCCATTATTAACAAACAAAAACAACAACTTAATAATCTTTTTTTCAAAATGATATGTTTTTATATGAAATGAAAAAAGTGACAAAAAGCATTCTCGTTTTTAATGTAGAGCTTTTAGAACGTTCAAATAAATATTAGTATATATAAAGTATATTAAACAATTCATATGTTCATATCAATTTTTATTTTCTTAATTAATATTAAATTTGATTAATAAAACCTTATAAGTTCTAAAGTGAATCAAATCAAAAATGATTCAAAAGAATTGAAAAATGTTTTCTCTCTCTTCGCTTATCCCTCAAAAATTTCTTGCTTTACAGCGTTCAAGAAACAATGCAAAATATATTATTAAAATAACAAAATTTTCTTACCATCCAGAAAGCTAATCAAAATTATTAATTGAAGAATATTAAACAATACAAGATATCTTTGGCTCCCCAGAGAGACGTTCAATTTAGATTATTTATAATTTCGCGGCGAGTGGGCCCGGGCCAAGACGTCTACGAGCTAATTTCCAAAATAAATATTAGTTCAATCAGACTCGGAACGGTCTGTAATATTAGTCAATGTGAGGCTCCAGTGATGTTAACATTATATTATGCTCCTTTATTATATTCAGTGTTTTGGAACTTCTGATTTGACCGTTAGCCTTATTAGTTTCAAGCTAATTAAAATACATACTCTTAATGAGATCTGAGACTTTCGCGAGTCATTTAAATGAAACTTATATTTGGCGGATATACTACGCGACTTTAATTTTGACAAAAACTACATACTCACGATGTTTCGGTTACTTTACAGCAACCGTGATCACATCTCGTCTGCCATTGATAGTAATATATGTATCTGCAAAATATTAATTTCATACATACTCTTTCTTTAACTTTGTAAATAAAACAGTTTATTTTTAACATATTATATAAAACAATATGGATGATAATTTCATATATGTAATTAAATGTTACTATAGTTAAAAGATATTAATAGAGATATTTATTATCAAAGACATCTCCCTTAAAGGAGTCATTGTTTTCAATAAATTAAACGGACAAACACTCCGCAAACAGCCGCAGGACTCCGTCAACACAATTATTATACTCGGACAGCGACCCTTGTTGATAAACAGGTTCTAAATAAATTAAGTGGACTTGTATTTATGAAGAGAGAAATTTTACCGCATTACATGAAATTTTTCATGTTCTTATTCATAATTATTTTAAATAATATTAGCTATCCATTTAAATTGTTTCATAATTCTACAAGGCCCCTTTATGAATTTCTCAGATGCTCTTTACTAAATTTTGAAGATGATTTTTATTATTTCAGATATAGAAAACCATGAGCACGCGTCCGCCAGCAACCGGCGCACGCACGAAAAAACAAAACCATGCAAACATTCCTTGTCCTATCGAGGACTGTGCACGGTTTACTTACGGAAAACTACCTGACCATCTCACAAAAATCCATGGAATCACTGGAGCTGAACGAGACGCGCTAAATGAACAACAAAGAAAGAGATTCTTCAACGGGGAACTTTGTCAGGTCAGATTCTTAAAGGAATCAGCTATACGGGACCTGTGGGGCTCTGATTACGAAGATCCAAGAATTCGTGCGAAAATTCATCAAAGCTACTCCCTCGTCAAAATAAGGATAATTCCTCTTGCTGCCACTCAACGCGCTCGTCCACTGACAGAGCAAGATGCTAATGTTCTCACAGCATATAACGCAAGAACTGCTCCTCGACCAGCTCGTGTACAGAGAACCAGGGCTCGTCCACGACCGTATACCGTCCCACAGGCCAGTCCCGTGGAAAGCCAAGTATCGAGTGAATGTAGCGAGGAGGAAAACGCTCGTAACTCACTACCCCCATCACCACCACCATCTTCACCATCACTACCTCCATCACCAGCTCCATACGAATTACAACCAGTTGAAACAAGACTTCGAGATAACATATTCGATTCCAAAATCGATGCGGGCTATAAAGCTGTAATTGATGACATGAAGAAGACTATGACGATGGGTAGAACTCTGGGCACGCGGAAGCGCAAAGCATATCGCACCTATCGGCGTTATGCCAAACGTTTAATTGCGTATCTTCATAGACAGCATTCACCGCTTGCTTATGATGTTGATGTCCTACTATGCGGCGAGAGACAGGTGTGTGCATTCTTAGAACGCATAAGCACTGAACATAAAACGAAGACGTTGCGCAATTACATCGTGGCTGCCATCAAATTATTGGATTCAAGGCTCTTCGCTATCGAAACGGACCCATCAAGCAAGGAGAAGGTGGCGTCCATGACCCGAGTGTATGAAGCTCTTCACGGAAGGCTCAACGATTGTGATCGACTCCTAGCACAGAAGGATTCAGCTGCACAAAAAGAAACAACACCCTTCGACAACGACGCTATTGATCAAAATTTTACCGAAAGTTACGACGATTTAGTTTAATTAAAATTTCGCAATATTGTTTTAAGGAGTATTAAAAATACATTGTAAATATAAATAACGTAGAAAAATATTTAATTTTAAATTATTTTTATTATTTATTTCTTTTTGAATCATTTTGGTAATTGTAAATAAATTTATGTATATATGATAACGTGTTACGAGCAATAAACATTGAACAGCAGTATTATTATAGTTAAGACAACTTAGTAATCATTTTCAGCGTTATATGTAGTTGATATTATGAAATCAAGTAACCTATAATACTTCTTTATATTATAAGTAATAAACACTTATCAATATTTAAATGTAATATTTTATAGTAGTTATTCTTTGAAGACGAATAAAACTTAAACTCTTTGCTATTCAACAGTCAAAAAGATTTGGAACTTCGTAATGCATTCAAATTATATTTAATGCATTTATGTAAATAGAGTAAGTCTAGTCGTATATTTATGTGCAATATTACAATTTCTAGTAATCATTTTATTGTAAACAATCTAGCTGTATTAAGAAACTGAAATTCTCTATAATACGCTAAAGAATAAGCACTATTGTAAATACTAAATAAACACGAGCTAGTGTTCGCCATAGAATAATAAAGGCATGGAATAAAAAAATACTTTTAATTACTTAAAGCCTTAAAAATAAATTCTAGCTTTATGCGACTTCTTGAAATTTTATTTTCATGTTCTTTCACAATTTAATAACTGAAAGAAATCTATGACATTATGAGAAGAAACCTAGCAGGATTTCATGGATTCATTTTTCGGCTGCCGAGACCATAGCGTTGCAGGAAGAGGAGTTTCAACAGTGTTTGGGACTTGGAACTCAAGTGTAATTTTGGGGCCCCTATCCAACGCGCGTGAGACGTTCACCTCTACTTTCCAAGCTCCTCTCTCTACCTAACCAAATTTGAAAAGAACCTACCAGTACTGCCTTTGTCTCACGTTCCGAAAATGAACTGATATTAGCTCTGGCCAGGTTTTAAATATTATTTAAATCGTTTCGGATTTTTGACGAATCTATAACAAACGCATCCACAATCAGATTTGAAGATTATTGGACACATTTATTAACAAAAATAAAAATAAATACAATATACAACAATACCTACTCTTTTGAAGGTACCATCATAAACTCGTCCAAGTTTTTCCTTACAAATAACAACTGAACTTACTTACGATAAAATTAAACTATTAAAGATTATAATATAAATACATACATATATTCATAACGTATCAAAACATTAAATTTGAGATTATTTGAATACAGTTTTTATAATTGTTATAAGTACAGAAAATTAAAAAAAAAATCTTTTAACAAAATGCTTTTAACGAAAATGCTTTTAACGAAATAAGTGGGTCTGTATATATATTATCCTAATTAGATGTTTTATAATTCACTATCTTTCCTCCCGCAGCTTCGCCCGCGTGGAGAAACTTTATATCACGATTCCAAGAGAACTTTTCAAGAGTCTGGGATAAAAACTATCCTATATTCTTTCTCAAGGTGAACTCTAGAACTTTACGAAATTTCATTAAAATCAGTTTAGTGGTTTAGGCGTGAAAACGTAACGAACAGACAGACCGACAGAGTTACTTTTGCATTTATAATATTAGTAGGGATTATTAATATTATAATTTATTTAATAATATAGACATGTGTACCTGAAAATTATGTAAGTATGTATTCGTAAGTAAAGTAAAGTATTTCTTAAAGAAATGGATAAGATATTTCAACAAAAATCTTAATGCTCTCTTTCCGTATATACCTATAACCATATTAAGTAAAACATGCTGGTTGTTTTAGTATTATATAAAATTTTAATTTATAAACAAGTTTAAGACTATTTTCAGGTGCCATTTCGAAAAAAATACTGCCAGATTTTTTTATGTAACTCATTTCAAATGGATCTTTTTTACTTTTTTACTTATCTCTTCTTCAGATTTTATGGAATACGTAAAAGTTGTGCCATTACAAATAATTTGGATACAAATTATTAATAAGGATAAATTATAATATCGGCTAACAGTATTATGTAAAATCAATACCCATTTGAAAGACTATTGTGAATTATTAACCAATAAAATAAATTTAAAAAAAAACAACTCACTTGTTCAGTGTATGATTGTGCGAGAAAAACTGATTACGGATAAGTAATACTGTTTTCAACAAAATCTAACCTTGTTACCGATAGGAAACTATCAAGAAACGACTTAATATAAGAAGCACGATGTCAGCAACAAAGATCGTAATTTCAGAGACATAAACAGAGAATACACTGTAATTGTACAAAAGTAGGTGGCTGAATTAAAACACTTAACACTTTCGACTCTATAAAATATATCATAGATATGTCAGATGCAACCTATTTCTTTTAAAAATTACAGTCTCAGTAAAAACAGAGTGAATTGTAGCTACATACTTTCCAAAAATCCTTCAGTTTATATAGATAATAAACTCTATGCTGTCTACATCCCAAACAAGTAGGAAATAACTATCAAAAAATATGTAAGTATGAAGCAAAAAAACAAATTAAATAATAAACATGATTATAATAAAAAATGCTTTGTTTAGATTGCTAGATTTTATGAATAATCTACATACATCTATAGCACGTTAAATTAATGTGAACACCATAAAAATACAAGATATTGTGTCTATGATATAGTAACTAATTTGGTAGTTTTTTTTTAATTCAATACTGACGATTTTTATAATATTTTAACTGTATTAATTAAGAATAATAATTCAATTTAACGGAGGCTTTATAAACATTTTTCATTATTAGAAATATGTAAAATAGTCTTATTTTACAGTTATTTCACACATAACAAAAACATACACGCATAACATAATATTTACTTACCTTTCATTTCGTATACACCATCGCTAAACATCTTTTATTGAATGTATTACAAAAATATTTAACTGATTTTATAATTTTTATAATCGTTCCAACTTTGATAAATAATTACATATCCTCATAACATTCATAATCAGCAGCGGTATGAACTATTGTTTGTACTAAATAATCATATGAAATAAAAGAAAATGATACTAAATCATTATACATGCTTCCTTTTTAAGTTTTCTTTTAATTTTGAGGGCATTTAATCTTTAGGATAAAATTTGACTTACAAAAATATATTACATTTCAGCTCGCTTTTGGTATGGTTACGCCATCTACTGAGAAGTAGTCAAAGCTATTACATTCTTATGTAATATAAGTCAACTACATATTATATGTTCAAGAGATGGCGCTACTGAGTCGCATACCACACCTCCTACACAAATCTGTTCTCCTGTTACCTGGCGATTGTGACTGCCTGCTCCAGATTCTCCACCAGCGGACGCCCACGTTCCAAACGTTCCGCAGACATTCATAAAGTTCCTTCGTCTATCTTTATCTTACTCTATGAACTATGTCGCTCTTATTCGATTAATGTCAGAACGTTTTGAAACAAAGAAAAGAAGTTTTTCTTTTTAAACGGATTTCGAAACTTTGTTCCTATTATAAATTCAATTAATTAGTACAATGACGTTACATATATATTTTCTTTCTTATTTTATAATAAATTAAAGAAGAAGATAATAATATAGAAATATGTTAAAAAATTAAAAACTATTTATTCAAAATTTTCGTCGTAGGTGGTGACGATTGACAAGCGTGAAATACGGTAAAACATTAATTTCTATTTCTGACATAAGACTCAATAGCTAATTCCGTTCACTCCCTTGAAACGCCAAACACGACCTATTTAAGTTTTATGACTAAGAATGTTCTGGAACGATAATGCTTAAAGTATAAAAACTCCAGTGACTCAATATTTTTTGCAAGCGACTGCAAGGTTTCGCTCCCAGATTTATTTATAAAATAACGTGGGTTGGTAACGCCGTTTAACGAAAACTATAAATAGTTTTTTTTAGAACACGTTTATTTTTGTACCAGTCCGCATTGTAACGGCGTTGTTCTAACACCTGCAAATATTAAAGAGACTTTAGATATTTTAAACAAATTTCTCTTTCATTATTTCACAAATATAAAATGAACGAACAGAGCAAATGTTACCACTATTATTTTTACCTTATTTATTTAAAATTGATATCAAAAAATGTATATGCATACAAAATTTCAAAAGATTAAGATAAAAACAAAATAGTATATATTACTGGGTAATAAGAAATTGACAACGTATTTGATATAACAATATTACATTATTGCAACTGTTTGAATAAAACATTGTTTTGATTATCATCAATCGATTGCTGAAATCATAACAAAACATTACTGATATTCATGCAGATAGATTTAAAAAGATTGATAAATTGAAATAATATTCAAATTATTAGAGAATATAATGCAAAAACTATCAATGAGTTAGCACTGAGCATATAAAATAAATGACTTGTACATTATAAAGTAAAACTGTAGCAGCGAACACAACGCGAACTGGTTAACGTCACACGCATTCGGTGCAAAGTGCATGTATGCATTTTAACTCTGTGCGTTTATGCTGCCCTGGTGACCGTTCCTTTTGTGAGCGACGCCAAAGGGGCCCTATCCCCTTTGAGAGCACCCTTCTCTGGGTCATCCATATTCTTTAATATCCAAATCTGTTCTTTTTGACAATTAGTTTTATTATAATTCGTTTCATTTAAAACAACAATCTTGACGCCATATTTATTTTTGGTTTTGTTTTTCGACATTGTTGTATTAGTTGTTGAAATAAACTGGCGTATCTTTTGTCTCTTATTCTCTCAAGATTATTTAAAACATAAAAAAATAAATAACAATTTTGTAAACAATGTCCTACCAGGAACTCGAAGGACAAGGAGTTCAGAAAATGACAGAACTTCATTGCAATTAATTGCATTCAAACTGCAATACACTTCTTGTCATTTTTACGAGGTTACTTGTATAGAAAAAATCATAATACAGGATTTAATTTATTATCAATATGACTAAGCATCAAACATATGGTGTCTCAATAATTGATGTGTTTCTGGAAGAGAAATCTAAATGGGGAATGGAAAATTGTTTTTGTGTAAACAAAAGTACGAGGAACCAGGTACCATGTTTAAAACAGCTTATATTATTCTTTGGTATGAATATTACACAGATTATAAAACGGCTTTATTGGAAATATTGCATAGATTTGTTCTCTATATTATTTGTCTTCTAACGATAATTTCACCAAAGCTGTTATCAAAATTCAGCCAGATCAGATACAACACTGAAATCTTTAAAATTTTTGGGTCAAGAGTAATGATTTTATAATGTTAAAATAATTATGATTTATTATTATTACGAGTGCATTTTGCATTAAATTTATCCAGCTGATGTGAAATGTTTGTATGTAAAACGAAACGAAAAATGATCACCTTGTTCCAATTTCTCACAATATATGTTGATATAAAAAGAACTGACTTCATGTAAGAAATGTAAGAAAATCTTTAAAACCGCTTTTTTCCATCTCTTTATAATAAAAAAAAAGTTAGCGGCGATGAAAGTAACAAAAAAAACTAGGACGAGACTTAATTTTTTATTGTTTAGGAGTTGTTTTCATATTGATATTTTTTATCTGTGTATTATGTAACATTAACCTGAGTACTGTTTAGGATATATTTATGTAAACATTTAAGTATCGCTCGTTTCACGCTAGGTATGGGGATATTTTCGTCCATCGTTTTCTGGTTTCTGCGTAGTGTCCGTTCTCACTAGTATTTACAACTATATCGCCTTGCGCCGTATAAAACACGTAAGGTGACTCAGTAAAGCTTATTTTGTTCCCAACTTTTGCGAGAGAGCCATCTAGTGTCGAACGTGTTAAACTCGAGTGATAGTGTTTTCAGTGATTTTGATTCACAATGCCTGGACGTCCTATTTGGCAGGTAAATATAATGTTATCCAATATATTATATATTATAATTATTTTTTATTCTATCCAAAGACTACATTTTCATAAAAATCTTGTATATTTTTGACAAAATAGGCTAAGCCATTTTTTTGTGAATTTATAAATATATATAGAATTGCAAAATAGTAATGACTCATTTCATAACTTATGCTATTTTATTTACCTGCCTGGTTCGAAATAACAGGTACGGTTCCAAAAATATCTTTGGTATGAAAACAGTTTGAAACACCAGAAATGTGAGGTTTTGTCTGGGATAAATAAAAAACATTATAAAATTATTCAGTCATATAAAATAATTTTATATACAATTTATTATAATTAAAACTTAAACTAAAATCAACTTATACTTAATACTTCAAAAGTATGATGTAATTTTTTTATAATAAAAAAATGTGTTAAAAAATGTGATGGTTGATTTTTTTTAAAATTCTTATCACTTACATGGTCTAATTAATATTTTTTATTGAAGTAAATAAATCATTTTAATCTAGTCGTTCACTTCTTTATCTGTGTTCCTTTTCAATAAATTAGTTTTTAAATCTCCAATCATGAAGTTAGCTGGTAAATTGTGGAATATTTGTTGCATAAATCCAAGGAGAATATCTTCAATAGTTTTCGATAATATCGGTCTCAAAGATTCAGATACTGGCTTCCAATTAGCGTTTAAATATGCGTTCGTGCTGTCCTCTGAAAAAGAAAAATATAAACATAATATCCAATACTACTGTAACAAACACTATCAGAACGAACAAAGGAATAACGAAGAATCAATATAAGTAAGTAACAGTATTGTTCTTTGTATATATAGTTTCAAAAGATTTATTTTAATTATTTGTTAAAAAATATGACAATTTGAAATATACAAATGTTAAATTAAGTTTTTGTGGAAAACTTTATTAAATAAAATAACATAACCTCTTTGCTCGTGCGAATTGGCAACAATATTTTCAAGGTCAGTCAAATTAAACTCTCAACGCGTTTCAACGTTGCAATTTACGATATGAATATACCAGGAGAATATAAACCCAAAGAATAACTAGAACTCGTGACGCTTCTTACGCCATCTGTTATTGAGTAGTGAAACTAATTTGCCACAAAACTTACAACAGCACACGATAGATGACGCTTTTACGAAACTCACCAAGTGACGATATTCCGTCGAACAAGTTACCCATATGTAACTTTAGACCTCCAATATTGTATTTTACATGCACTTGAGTTACATTGAAGAATGGAAAACCACCTTTTTCGTACATCTTAACATCGCTTACAATATCTATGGTCATGTTACCTATAATTAAAGTAGGAATTAATCCAAAATATCATATGATTTTTTTAAATTGTGAACTTGTATAATCTAAAGGAAATATAATGAAATATTTTACTAATAGTTTATTGTCGTTAGGATTACTTAAGAACTCTATAAATACTATACGTTATGTATCCCACTCACTTGGCTCAAACCAACACAGACCACGACCGACTAGTGGTATTAGTAATATTTTTCCTTTTAAATCGTAGGTGCCTTCGATTCTTATTTTTGGAACTCGAACTTTAGTATAAAAATCGTAAGATTTACCGTCGACTCTGAAATAAATAAATATACAGTACCCATACAATTATACTAAACAATTTAATTTGTATGATTGTAACAATGACTCACTGGCTATGCAGCACTTCTGTTTTACCAAAACCTGTTACTACAACATTGTCGAGTGCGGCATTTATGTTAACCGGCCCTTCGCCTTGCAATATCCTTAGTTTTGGAATATTTAAAGGATCTATTGGCGGCAAGTCTATTTCTGGCAGCCCTGAAACAAATCACAGAATAGAATTACATCTAGTATTACGAACTCTCATAAAAACTGATATTGTCATCGCCTCGTGTGAATATGGTGAAGAAATAGCACTTTCGCTTTCCGTAAGGCATGTCCCACTATAATCATTTCGAAATTGAAACTTGTGTGACTAGCTTAGTGGTTTATGAATTAAATTATAATAACATTCTTTGTTTACTTAAACTACATATTGAATTATTTCTTAACTTCTTAAGGGACTAAAAGTGTTAAAACAGGACAATTTAAATCTAAAGGTAGTCAACACTCAATATTATTTATTATATGACAGTAAAATGTTGCGTTCACAAGCATGTCTTAAACAAATAAACCATTGGACATTAGATCCCATGTTAGAACACCATTAATGAAGTGATAAAACCTCTCTTAATATTCCCAAATCCGCTGACCCAGAATTTGTATAGTGACTTAAACTTGTTTTCAAATTTAAATTTAAAAAGTTTTTCCCACACAAAAGTGTCTAAAAAAATGTAATGTACGGTCTTCAAATGTACCAGGAGATCAGTACAGTGAGTAGTTATGCATTCTGCACTACAGTTGTGCAATGAAGTAACATTTACTATTGCGACTTACGCCGTCCACATTCTTGTTTAAGACTGCCATTAGTTGTGATGGGTATTGCAATCAGCATATATGTATGATATAATAATGATTTTTTTTAAATGAATTTACCTGGACCTAACGCGTTGAAAAGCTGTTGTACCGCGTCTCTTGAACAATCGTCAAAATCAGGATCACTTTTCATACACGTGTTTATGAAGCTTGCTAAAAAATATAAATATAAGAAAATTATTGGCGGTAAAAGACGCTTAAATGAAATAAATAGATGGTAAATGCCCATTAAAATAATAACTTGTAAGGTTAACAATTGAATTAATAATAAAAAACTAATTTAATTTATAAAAAGAATTCTTATTTAAAAAAATTAGAACAGTTACAAATATTGGTTTAAAAATTACTTACGCTTTGTTTTATAATAATCAGCCAACGAACAATGTATCACAACTGTCACCAAAAACAATTGGATCTTCATATTATTATTTTTTAAATTGTTTGTATATATGAAACCCTAGGTTCTTGGGCCCCGGGCAGGCCAGTCAGGGTATTGGGCTAAGACTAAGTCTCAACGACGCCGGTCCCGCCGGCTCAGCTTGGTGGGGAGGAATACGCAATGAGCAATGTAAATAACACTTAAACTTTGCCCTTACCTAGCCACTACTAAGTACGATCTAAACAAACCCTGGATATAATTCATGTATCTATTGCGCCTAGTACTGTCGACCATGAGTACTAAGACTGCATAACCAATGGCATCTATTCGCTGGTTTATATAACATCAACGTATTTTTTTGCTATTTCAATCGTCATTACCGTAAGATATTACAACAGTTTGTATAAGACTATATGTTTATAATGCATGGGAATTCCGAATACATTTTTCAGTATTGCGTAAAGCAAGCAATGCAATTTATATGAACGTTATTCGGAACAATGATAGTATTAAAAACTATGCCAGTATAGGTTCCTGTAAATCGAGTTTACTCGGACACTCGTAACGTGAACCCAATAATCATGGATATCTGTTACATTCGTTCCATATCATCAATTCCTTGACTGCGATTATATTTAGTAATCTTCTGACATACTTTTGAAGTGTTTTTGTAACTTTAACATTAGATATTACAGCATTAAATTTAATTATTACCGCATACACCATGTAAATTGTTGTAGCCCGTATACTTGTTTGGTGTGGTATAAAAGGGAATTTGTTAACAACTTAGGGTGAAGGGATCTTAGTATTTAAATTGGCCTTGGGCAGTGAATGCTCTATCGCTTTCATAATATTACGTGCAATAGGGTAAGGGATCAAATGTTAAATAACTTCTAACATGTTCAGAAATAATTAGGTCAATGTCTGACGAGTTATGAAGCTACTGGTGGAAACAGCAAAAGTATTAAAACGCTAATATTTTTTATCTGTATAAATGCTCAATCATAAGTTCTGCCATACAAAATTAGAAGTCATTGTCTAAATAACTACGTAGGATAGCTAACGTAATAGCCATTAAAAATCGACAATACATCCTCTTCTGTTGGCGTCTGGTCAACATAAACAAAATTTATTTTGTTGAAACATGTTAAAACCCACGCGTTCGAATCATGTCATCTGGAATATTACTAATGAAAGTTTTAAACTCCTAACGAAGTGTGCAACCCTGGTAGAACTTATACCAAAACATTCTATTTATTTTATTAATTAAACCGCATTTTAATTTTTTTCTTATTGTACTTAAATATAAATTTTCCGAATATTTGACATTAATATTTACGACATACAACTTCTTTCATAAGCCACGAAATCACAATCTGCGGCTGTTTCAAATTTTTATTACCCAAAAGTAGGTTGTGGCTACTCAAAGAGTGAGTAAAAATAGATTCGTGCGAGTAAAGTTCACAGTTATTTACATTTATATATTTACATTGTGTTATGTGATAATAAATAGTGTGAATAAAATTAAATATGTATAGTAATATAATATAATACATAAAAGATATTGAATGAAATAGAAATATGTATATATAAATCATTTTTTTTATTTTGATGGCTACTGTTCATTAATTTAGTGATGTACCTATAACCGTTAATGTTTATTGTACAAATTATGAAATGCAAATTCTTTTCATTCAAATTACGATATCGATATTTGTTCAAAATATTTCGCTACTGGTATGAGGTAACCCGATAAATTTGTAACTACTAACTTACATTCGGATGGTCTCTTATGTTTACTTTTTAAACACGCATAATTTATTTCTGTTTTACCACGACATTATATGTAGTTATGTGACCGTATTTCTTTCAAAAAATATCGATATTTTCCTAAAAGATCGTGTATAATTCGCATGTCTATTTTTTTTATACGAACGTGAAATTTCCAATTAAATTAAAACAATGATTTACGATTTCCTTTATTGAACGTATTTTGAAATAAAGTAAATGTAATCTCAATATTTTAAAAAATTGTAAGCGGAACCGGAGACAGTTAAAATATTACAGTTGCTCTTGAGACAGCCCGCCAACATTAAATGTTAAATAAAATATTAAGAAACGGCGGAGTGTTGATATGTCAATGGCGTTTGTCAATCGCTGTTTTATACTTTCGCTCTCAAAGACGACACGTCGTTAGTGGCAATAATAAAACATAATTTTAGCTTCAATACAACAAAAACAATATAATAGCTTCAACTAAAATCATCTCGTATGAATTTTATAATTTAATTGACTTTTAATAATAGTATAAACGTGAATAGTAGTGGCAAGCCACAGGAAAATCAAATCACAAATAAATCATTCAATTGGTCAAAAAGTAATGAAATATTATATTATAACACGAAAAGAATATCTCAATTGAAGAAAGTAAAACTCCTGTTACACAGATGTTTGCAATATTATTTGCAATTACCAAAATTATCGTAATCGATGTCTTTTGTTGTTTTTTCAAAGGTAAGTTTACTTTTAGTATGCTTACTCCAACTTGCTTCGTCACACTACATACGTATTAACAGTTTTTTACTTCAAAATCTTCGCACATAATAGCATTAAAGTCGGTCTTTTAGCAACGCTTCTTATGTAGTGTCACAATGCAAAACTAGTCGTAAGCTTGCAATACCAAAACGCGGTATTTCCATTACTTATCTAATACTTTATTAACAAATTTGGCAAAAACTTAAATGCCGCTAATGCGTATCCATATTACTTCATTGCGGCATACTAGTAAGATAAAACTTGCATATTGCAATTTTTTTATTCATTTACTGGTCCAAATGACACAAAATTCAATGCTATAAGACGTAAACTGTTAAGACGGTCAAAATAAAACGTTATTGTATTATAAAATTACTCAAACATAACTACAGTCACCCAGATTCAAACGGAATATTTTTTTATTTTGTAATATTATTTGATTATGAAACTCCGTATAAAATAGTTAAAATTTTTGTTGCCATGAATTTATTTTACTGTTTTTTTCTGTTTTAAGGTGTCAGAATGATATTTGACATTATTTTATTAATATTCTATATCAAGTATATTATGTTAACGATATACAATGAAATGTTTCTCGATTGCAAAAGTAACTAAATTAAGGAATTTAAATAATTTTGTTTTGTTAAAACTTTCTACTAAAATGGTATATAAGAAAATTTTATCTGAGATAATAAGAACACATGTCCCATAGCCCTCTGTTTCTGTTTATTTCTCTTTATTTATTAATTCCTACATGTACATCGATCAATTTTTGAAGTTTAATACTTATAACAGTAAAAATGTTCCTTTCTTTGTATTCTTTTACTGGCATAAATTCCATGAAAACTTAACAGGCTTTTATAATGTGTCACTTTCATACTAAAATACAGGGTGACTGGTGAATTACTATCAATATTTAAGGAGCATACTCGGTACATGATTCTCATTCGAATTATGTAAAAAAAATAGGTACTTAAATTTTGACCAAATTTCCGTATAAATAAATAAAGTGTGTACACGTTCCAAGTGTTCCAAGTGTGGACGCGTGCGGCGGCGTGCTGTTACAACAACACGCCGCCGCACGCGTATGTGTGAGTGTGTGTGTATACCTAATCTGTAGGGTGTTCATACGATGCGTAATTAATTACATAACTTTTGGTTAACTTTACTTAGAAGTTTATTAATATTTATGTTATATTAATTTTTATTTTGTCATATATGATCGTCAAATATCACGTCCTTAAATATTGATAGTAATTCACCAGTCACCCTGTATTAGTGTGTATATTAGTAATTATGGTATATTTTACATTGTATATTATATTATTAGTATAACACTAATGTCAAGTGGGTCGCATTTGGCACTCTTGCAAAATGATTTGCTGGCTTATAGTGTATGGTGAGCGATGTTATTCATTCGTGTCTTGATAATTAATCACTGACAGATGTATTATAACTAATTATGATTTAATTTTATTGGCAATCTTGAATTAATAGCATCATAATTAATAACTTATAAAAATACTAGGTGTGTTTGACTAACATTAGATAGATGTTCTGTTGAGAATATCAGAATACAATTTTTGCTGAAGATTTTTAGTTCGTGTAATAAAAAACTTATAAGAATAATTAAAAATAAAAATTTATAATATAAAAAAGTTTTTATTGCTATTAAAATATGTACAAAACAATAGTCGATTTATGAAAAAAAAATTATTATAATTTTAATATATATCCAATACAAAACTGTTTGAAATATCTTATTTAAAAAAAATCACTCATACATAACAAAAGAAAATTCAACATTGAAGTCCAGATAGATCATAACAGCCATCTTGAAAGACAGACTTAACAAAAATTAAAAATAATTTAAAATACTGTTTCTTGTGATGACAAATTGGCATTTTCAGCTTTTCATCATATAGATTATATATATTAGTAGGAAAATTACATATGACGAGTGTTGCCAAAACCACCATGGCCCGCTTGAGACGCACCCTTGTTGAAACCCATTTGGAGGTTTAATTCAGCGTTGTGGGCCCTAAGTTGTTCTTCAGTGAAAGACCTTTCATTCTTCTCCGCCATCTTAGGTCCTAACTGAGGACCGGTCCATTCAGGGTGCTTCTGTGTCTGAAAAAAATAACAGAATTTTATCACCGTTTTCACAGATGCGCTGATCATCAAAGGAGTTTAAAAATAAACATTAAATCGCTGTATGTATTGCATCGCTTCATATAATAAATTCTATAAATACTTACTATTCTACCGAGAGAGTATAAGCACAAGGTGACTTGAGGAATGTTGCGTCTCTCGAAAAGATCGGCCGTCTGGAATATTTCCTCCTCTGGTACTCCGTACTTTTTGATGGCTGCTTGGAACCTAAAATATTTGAATCGTTACTTTCAAAATTTTATAACTTTATAGAATTTTTGCACATATTTTAAACAATAAATAAAATAACCTTTGAATGTTTTCCATAAGCTGGAAGTTGGTTCCCCTTTCCTGGATCTTTTTAACTGATCCGGGTGATAATTTGTTGATTAGCTTGCACAGAATGACTCCATCTTTCAAAATGTCTTCATACGCGCCTTTTGGAAGTGGTTCCCCAAGAACAGCGGCGATCCAGTTCAGAACTTCTTCCTCCTGTTCCTTGTTTCTGGCCTGTAAATAATTTTATATGTTTTTGAACAACGGCCATAAAATATGAACTCCAGTGCCAAGTCGTTAACTGTTCGAGCAGATTTAGGAACAGATTCCAGAATCATCTCCAAAAATAACGCTAACGGGCATTATCTAAAACGTCTGGAAAGCTTTTGAGATCGCTTCGTAACGAAATGCACAGCTGCGATGCGCTGCATTTTCAGGCCATGCCATTAAAATAATAAAAAAATATAGTTATATTCTAAAGAAAGCATGAACATATTACAAACAGAAAAATAAAATTAAAAACAAAACAAAAAAATATAATTCACATTATTAAATGTAATAAATATCGGTAATTCATTTAAATTAAGATAAGCAAAAACAAGATTTAATGAATAAATAATTGTAAAATTAAATAGAAAATCTTACAGGCATTTTGATTTTAAAAGATCACTATGGGAACAAGTTTCCAGATCCGTATCAAATAGTTGACTGGCACTGATGCCGGGCGTCCAGAGGCGGTCAGCGTCCGCGGGGGCGGCTGGCGTCGGTACAGCTCCCAACACAAGTACCATACTTAATTATAGGTATTACAACACCGCCATTCACTGGCGGAGTGATAGACTGTTCCAGTTAGCATTGAATCTTCCAGAAATAATCTCATCAAATACAGATTTATTCAAAGTTTTAGAATATTGTTCGATTAACCAAGTCGGGAAATGCAAGTTAAATATTTTGATAGTCCATAGATAAACTATTTGTTTATAAGTTAACACGCTTTAATGTTACCTATGAATGTAAATTGAAATACCAGCACTAAAGAGGTTTGTGATGCTGTAATAAATATTCATGATCAAAGGAAGGAATGAGGTCGTAAAATTGGAACACCCCTTAAAAAAGACGAGTCTGAAAAATGTTTAGTTTCTTGTTTTTTTCAATTTATTATACGACGATTTTGGATGATCAAATATATTTTTGAAATGAATATTAAAAAGAGCTTTTAATTCAATTTCGATTGATACTTGTAAAGCATTTTTTTCATTTTTTTTTTTAAATACTTTGAGTGTAATTAATATTAAAACAAATGTTCATGCCATCAACAAAACTATAATTACGTAACTTTACATATTGATAATAATATTTTTATTACATAGGAACTGTTCTCATTTAAAAATGTATAAAAAGTCAGCTTAAAGTATTAGATACATTTTATTGCTGTAAACTGTAATTTGGCTCGTTACGTGAAACTTTTCATCCGCGTCACGTTAAAACAGACGTTTGTTTTATGTTTGTACGTTTGTCATTAATCCGTAGATATTATTAGATATCCGAATGCAGCCGCTGATGTCAGTGTATTGAAAATATTTCAGTTGAGTGTGTTTCGTGAAAAACATGTTTACGTTAATAAAAATATTTAAATACACTTATTCGTGAAACATTATAAAACAAATGTAATTATTATAAGTGTTTTATCTTTAAAAAACAATTATTAATTCTTATGAAAAGAATGAAATGATTATATTAAATAGTGTTCTAGATAACTAATAATAAACATGACATTTATTATTCAGTACTCGTTACAAATCTTCTTTCACAGACGATATGAATTTAAGAATGTTCTAAAAAACTCTAAAATAGAACAATGTTATTACTTTACCTAAACACCGTTGTTATTATTGCGAACTAGCTGTAATCTATTATAATATATAACACTGGCAAGTGTCCAGTTTGCACCCAAAGTACTTTATTAGTTGGCACGTGGCGGGGAACCCCTTAAAAATTTTACACTTAATAAAAGTGTCAAGGTATCACATAATATTATTTCATCGATATGCACGAACAAGATTGACAGAATGTATTCAAAACATTGTACTAAGTTCAAAGCGACAGTTATAAAATCGATGTTTAAAAAGAACTCTTTGATGGTTTATTGTTGCAATATCTTTATTTATACGTGAATAAAAAATAAATACCTACATGGTAACAGTATAGATAAAAAAGCTTTAAAAAAAATACTTATAATTTTGTTACAGACATTTCAAGAATATTTTTATAGCCGTTATAAAAATAAATGTTAAGAAATATACATATTTATTGTTATAGTGTGCTGGCAAACGTGAGCCTGAAAAGGAAGTAGAGGCTCAAAGATGGATTGAGGCTGTGATTGGGGAGCAGTTCCCGGCTGGTCTGCCTTACGAACTAGCACTGCGAGATGGGATCATCCTGTGTAAACTGATGAACAGACTGCAACCGGGAATAATCCCCAAAATCAATGTCTCCGGCGGCGACTACAAATTCATGGACAATATTAGCCAGTAAGCCATTTTTATTTTACATATTTCTCAATTTGATTAATGTTGTTTATCTACAAAAAGATTGTTATGCCACTGCGTTCTATTTCTATTTTCCAACTCTTAAATATACAGACACCATCAATTCTTTAAAAAAACAAGTTGAAACGGAAATGTGCCAGTTTTTTGCAGCTAATAAAACGAATTATCAAGATGCTTAATTTTTTTTACTTAAAGTTTCGTCTTATTATTTTCAGATTCCAAAAAGCCTGCATAAAGTACGGTGTACCAGACGTAGACCTTTTCCAATCTACCGATCTTTGGGACCAGAAAAACATTTCCCTAGTCACACAAACAATTTTCGCTATTGGCAGAACGGTATTTATTCATTATTATTATTATGTAAAAAAAAATTCATATGATATAGTATAAAAAGAAATACAGAGAAAAATACTTGCTGCTGTCAAGACACAAATTAGTGATATAAACCTAAACGTCAATTAAAATTGTGACTCTGACAAGTGATCTAAATTTATTTTTTAATTTTAACTTGAGTTTTCTACGTAAAGGTTAACAATTTAAATCCTTTTTTCTTTCTCCTCAGACACACAAGCATCCTGAATGGCGTGGTCCCTGGTTAGGTCCTAAACCCGCTGAAGAAAACCGTCGGGAATTCAGCGAAGATGTTCTCCGAGCTGGAGAATCCGTGATCGGTCTACAGGCTGGTACAAACAAATTGGCATCACAGTCCGGACAAAACTTTGGTGCTTCTAGAAAGATCATACTCGGCAAGTGAAGTACCAGGCTGACAGAAACCGAAAGAGCAAAACGAGAGCTTAGATTTATATTATTATTTTAACGAAATGTCAATTTTATCATTTTTAATCTGTTAATTTTTCATATAATTGTCATAAAAAATGTTTCAAATCATAATTATTTTTTTATGTCTATGTAATATAATTTTTGTCTTAATTTCAATTTAAGTTCTGAACATGTTATGTTGTATAATTTATGCATAATACGATTGTTTAATTTTATATTCTGTTTTAGAATCATTTCTCTGTCTGTGCCAAATTTTGTTATGTTATATTAAAGTGCTGTTAGAAAAGCCTAGTCAATAAATTAGTAATTAAAAAAACAATGTCTTTAATTTATTGCATGGTCACCAAATAAAGATTTTTTCCGAAAAAAAAAAATCAATTTTTATTTTATAAAATTCTTTACACATTTGATCAGAAATGTATAACATCAATTGGCAAAACTTAATAAGTCATTACGTGTTTTATCAACGTTTCCACAATAATTACACAACATCAATTATAAAATTCCCTATATTTTAAAAAACTCAGGTCACTGTAAATTAGAATCATCTTGAACAGTCAAGTCTTTTAATGCAGAAGATACCTAGTCTTTTCATGTTTATTGAATTTTGTACTTTATAAAACAATGTAAGTAAAAAAAGTTCAGTTCTATACATATTTAAAATATCGCGAGTGTGTGTCCTGAGTCTATGAAATAACGATATCAAGTGTAAAATACGTAACAGTACACAGAAAGCAATTTCAAGAGAATGATTTCGACAATGAGAAAAATATCATTTTCAAAAAAGTGACATCTATGACACAATTAGACAAACTTATCAAATGCACATAGTTCCTACCAGATGGTATTATACAGAAAGGAAATTCAAGGTCACATATTGCTTCATTAGAGATAAGACATGGATCATAATGTCAAAAAGTCGATATTTTCAAATATCGAGAACATTTTTTTATATTCCGATTTAAATGATTTGTATGAAGAAGTAATTCGTGTTTAATATATTCTTTTTAATATATTTATTTATATTTCGTGTTTAATATATTTATTTATATTTGGATAAATTATGTAATTTAAGGTAATTACTATTTAAAACAGAATGACTATTGATTAAAAAATCTCATGATAAATGCGGCCGATAACTTGTGCGTGATAAGGTTAAATTTTTGTGTTTATTTTCGTTGATTAATAGCGATCATGCGTAATGAATTAAATAAGAATTTTACTATTTATTTTTAACTTAAACTTATAATGGGAATGAATAAATATAATCATAGAATTTATATTGATTTATATGCTTATATGAAAGTTTATTGTAACATTTCTCAAACATAATATGATGGAAAATATTTCTAAAGAAATCTCATATCGATGTTAAAGTATCGATTCTCAGAATAGCGAGTAGCGACAATTCAATAGTAATAGACGAAAACTCTTTTGACAAGGACGTCACTAATATTAAATAATAAGCTGGCCAGTACATACTTGTTGTGATATTTGAGTGTTGAATATTTATTTGTAGAGTTTATTTAGAAGTTTCCGTTTACAAAAAATATGCAATTCAATTTCAAACAAACGAGAAAATGATAACATTCGGCGCTGCAAACACATCTACGGCGCAAGAGGAGTCTGGTACGAAAGTTTTCATTACGACGAAGTTAAACTATTTTCGAAATGTCTCATAAATTTTGTGCATAGGCGACGTGAGAAGTATTTGTGAGAGCATCTGCAGCGATGGATCGAATGCGACGGTGCAGCCGAGTGCCTCAAATCAGAGGCCCCGGATGGACATAGCTTGTGTTTTGGACGTTACCCAAACATTAAACCTTGCGCATAGAAAAAGAGCATTAGAAGAAGTGCGACTAGCTGCAGAACTTGTTAATGCGAATTTGCACCATATTCATGTAAGTTAACACAAAATCCTTTTTATATTTTCATTTAACATCCATAATCATGGTGTTTATGATTAAAAAATGTTACAAAAGTTGGGTACCATATTAAAAGGATTATTATTAAAAATTTAAAATAAATTCATAAAAATGGTCAGTAATATAAACATATTTTTCTATTTATATTTAAGTACTCACTTAAATATTATAACTTGATACAGTTTGAAAAACTTGACTTTGGAGAGACGAGTGTGTTGGATACATTCTACAATGCGGATGTTGCTCTTGTGGATCTTAGTTTGCAAGTACAGCAAAGCTCTTTACTATACCACTTGGGTGTGCGAGAGAGTTTTGATATGAAGGAAAATGTTCTGCTTTATAATGATGTCGATCCAGATTCTACATTACGACTTAAGGTGAGTCGATATGATTAAAAAGTAAACTATATTAATTTCACTGATTATATCTTCACTGAAGACTTAAAAATAAGCTATATTAGTAGTTATATTTGTTTTATTAAAGAAGATATTAACAGAAAATATATAGAATGTATGTTCAGATGTTGTATGGATGTCACTGCACAATATGCATAGTACAAAAAGCCTTGAATGATAATATCTCAATAGCTATTACTCTCAATTTCTCAATTGCTACATGGACTATGTTACATGAATAGTTCATGTTTCACATTGAAAGAGGACACAAAAGATAAACTGAATAGAAAACATCTATATTGTATGTGATTGTGTAACATCATTTTCTGATAATACATAGTTTTTATACATCTGAAGTATGTTTCTCTTAGGTTTTTATTAGTATTTTGTTTGATTATCTACTCACTTTGTTTACAAAGTAAATATGATTATCTAATTCTTTTATATTTGCTATATAAAACTGGAGTTTTTATTTAGTATCTGTTTTAATTGTGTTTCCGTCAAAGGATAAATCTAAGAACCGTTTTGTTCATTCATTATTAAAGTAGTAACATAAGTAGGTATATTCTTTAAATGGGCTATTTTTAAAACATGTTAAATAAGCCCATATGATCTACCTGAATAGATATCTGTTTCACTTGACTTGTTATGCATTTTGTGCTAATTACTCTACTCATAAAGATAATTGAAGACACTTTAGTGAACTTTATGGTCAGGTTGAATATGTAATTACAGTTGCATTACAGTGTTGTGGTTTTATTTTTTAATAATTGTTTCAAGTAGGATATTATAAACAGAGCCTCGGTTGTAACTACTGTCTGTTTTAAAGCAAGCTGAAAGGATGTAGTACTATATTAAGTTGGCTATATACTTTTTAAAAACAAATAAAACTATTTTTGTAACAATTTTTTTGGATTAAATTATAAAAAAACATCTGGAAATCATAGTTTGTTTGTTGAAGTAAGTAAGAATTTATTGAAATTTTATATGTTAATATTTTGAAAAAATATTGTTGAGTGTATACTCGTATTCTAAAACTTAAAATGTATCTTCACCACACTCAAGCAAGATATTTAAAATATATGGAAAAATTTGAAAAAATCTTTCTTTTTTTTTAAAGTTTCATATCACAGGAGTATTTATAAGATTTCTAGAACATTTTCATTGTTTAATTATTTATGAAGTGATTATTTCAATTTATTTAGTTAAAATTTTGTGAATTCTGATTTAAAGACTTAATAAGATAAACATTTGAACATTTTGATTTTGGAAATACTGAACTAGTGAAGTTCTTGATTTTTTGTTTTATTTTAATTTAAAATAAATATATATTAAAAAACAGATAATAAACTTAAATCATGCATAAAGATCTAAAAATGCCATATATTATCATAAATACTTCAATTCATTTAAGCTATGGCTTCATTCACACTGGAATCGTAGAATATTATACCAATGTCAAGATATAAATATTTTAAATACAAAAGAATGGATATTTTATTATATTATTATCTGTTTTATAATTTTTACATAATTTTAGTTGGTATTGAATAATGATTAACCTTTTGGCCACTATTTTTAATACTATTGAAGTTTAAGTTAAATAGGCAAAGTAAAGGAAACTATTTCAACTTAGAGATCACCAGTTACTTTGTTCACTGTAAATCTGTTTTGTGATTTTATACTATTGTATATTTTATTGTCTCTTATATTAACACTAATATTATAAATACGAAATAATGTTAGGTTGTATGGATGAGTTAATGTTTTTAAATCTTTCACATATAAATTACTTGGCGCATTTTGATGAAATCTTATAGTTATATAGCTTAGACATGAGAATAAGGTAGGGGCTATGATTTATTCCTAAATAATGGGTAATTACCGCAGGATCAGAGTATAATATTTTTTTATACCATGTGACACAATATACTTATTGCTGCTTGTTCATTACTTTATCTTATGTCTACACACACTACATATTGCTTAGAATCTTACTTCAATTTACTTGAATCACAGGCAGGAACTAGTGAAATATATGTCCTTGAATTGCTTTCAGATATCTCTTCCAAATTTTCTATTTGTGTCATACAAATTGACTGATGTCGGTACATGTGTGACAACAAACCCAGCAGCCGCTAAGTTCAAAGGTGATGAAGCTCCTGATCCAAAACAACATCTCACATTAAGACTCAAGAATATACTCCAAGATGTTGAAGTACAAACCAAGTTAGTATACAACCACATATATTTATTGTATAATAATATTTTGTTTAGCTTTGAGCTCTACTTGTTTATATATAACATTGTTTTGTATTCAAAAGTGACTGTAAATCTTTGTTTCATATAAAATGTTTATCGAATGTGTGCAATGAAGTCGCCCACACGATTTATAAATAATTTATTGATATATTTTACACATATATTAATGAAGTAACGAGACAAACTCGCCGTTTCACACCTACACAGTCTAAATAATAAACGATATTAAGAGCAATATTTAGGTATAAATAAAATGTATATAAAATACAGACTAAGAGTTAATAATCACTTTCTATGTACTCACTTCAATTTTTCTCTAAATCTGTTCTAGTGATAGTACAAGAAAATGTTGAACAAAAAAAATCCTTGTAAATCTATATATTTTTTTACTAAATCATAATATAATCTGATAAAATACTCAAAGGTAGTGAGATTAATTCACTATCATCAATTAAATGCTAATTTATTAAATAATCTCTCTCATTAATGATTCCAGAGCCCATCTTCAAGAGAAATTTCTATCGGATCTTCGTAAAGCAAGAGAGACTTACACTGGGGCTGAGTTGGCGAATGTTCTTCATGCTATGAGACGTCGTTTGGATGACCCGGCAGTACTATCCGGTGATACAATACTAAATCTTCTGATATCATACAGAGAAATACAGGATTATGACGCCATAGTCCATATAGTAGATGATTTGAAGACAATAATGAATAGGAAGAACTATGTTAATATGCCAATTATAAGGTTCATGTATGCTTTCGCTATGAATCGGTGAGTGACCTTGAAAAATTTGATGAATCAATATAATTATTTCTTTATACTGACTTATCTATTTACTGTGTTGTAATACTTTGCCAATAATTTGTATTTTAATGATTGGTTTTATTGAATCAAATTAAATAATATTTATTTTTTGTCAATTTGTAGGAGAAACAAAGAAGGCGATAGGGAGAATGCTTTAAAGGTTTGCGTGAAGGCTTTGGAGAAAAAGGAGAATAGATTTCCAGATATGTTATGTCTCTGTGGCAGAATATATAAAGATAAGTTTGTAGAATCTCAACACTCTGACTTAGAAAGTCTTACAAATGCTATTCATTGGTGAGTGTTAATGTGAAAATGTTAATACCGTCTTATCTACTTTGTTGTAAAAAGTCATAAAAATAGTATAAATTGTTTACTTTACACTAAACCGTTTGGTATTTTTAATTTATTTATACTTATCTAATATAGGTGTCTATTTGTATTTTAAATAAACAGTTTCTTCTTAGTAATAATGATCACATAAATGAACCCTTTTTACATTTTATAACGCAAAGAGTCCAAAATAACGAAGGCATGGGTGACAATTAGTTAGTATTAAATAATGTATTCACTATATTTCATAATATTTGGTTTTCGAAACTCAATTACAAACATATTTTTAAACATATTTACAAATACAAATATAAACATATTTTTTTACTCTTTCAGGTACAGACAGGGATTTGAAGTTCAACCCAATGAATACGCGGGCATTAATTTAGCCACACTATTAGTCATAGCTGGGAACGATTTTAAAAATTCAACAGAGCTACAACACATAGGTAATTTATTTAATTATTTTCCTTATATGACTACTACATGTTCAATGGTAATATTGACTTTATTCAAGTTTAAATTAACACTAATAAAATATAATTGTATGAATAATTGTTGATTGGATTTAATTTGCTAAACTTCATTCACATACACAACCTTGATATAAATATTCCTTATTTACTATTCATAATGTGTTTACAAATACTGCATGTGGGATTGTTCTAGTTATATTATCTCAAGCATTATTATTTTACTGATAGAGTTCATAGTATAAAAAAAAATTAATGTCTATTGATTGATATAAGAATTTGAGAGATTTATTGTATAATATATGCATACAGATACTGTCCTTTTAAAATTCTGAACCAAAAAGCTAAAAGCCTTTTACTAAGGTTGCTGTCTGTCCATCTATCTGTTTGTCATTAACCCATATCTCATGAACAATGGCAATTCAAAATATCACGAATTATCTATTTTTTTTACCGCTATATATACAAATATAGCGCTATTTAACGCTATAGTAACAAATACCAAAAACAAAGACGAAATACACATTTAATGTTGCTATATAACAAAACTTCTTTTTTACTCTTATAATACTATGGAAACCCCTTAATAATTTTGTTTTTACTTTCAGGTATAGTCCTGAACCATTTAATTGGTAAAAAAGGCAGCTTATCATCATTGAAGGAGTATTGGGACGTGGCCACGTTCTTTGAGATATCAGTACTAGCCCAGGACTATGTTAAGGCTATACAGGCAGCGGAGTGTATGTTTAAATTGAAACCACCTAACTGGTACCTGAAATCTACTATAGGAAATATTGAGTTAATTGATAGGTTCGTAATTTCTGTATCTTCACTTATTTTAAGTTTATACTAGCATATTATTTCTCTGTCTTCTGTAATTTTTTGAAGTTCTTGGACAGAGATATCTTCCATGTAAACGCAGTACATATAATAATTAGGTGCAAAATTTTATCTAAGTAGATTTAAGTATACAAATGTGCATGCACACATTTATTGTTGCTGTATTATACAAGTAAGCTTTAGAAGCTTTTTAAAAATATGTCAACCTATAAGCCTTTTAAAAATATGTCATTTTGTAGGTTTAGGAAAAAAAGCGATGATTCGTCGCCGGAGCAACAAGTCTTCTCGTTCTGGATGGAATTTTTCGTGGAGGCAACTAAATCTACGTGCGAGAATATTATACGGTTTCCCGTATGTAGCTTACGATATTTAACATACATATACACCTCAAACAATTAATTGTTCATTATATATTATCTGTTTGAATTTCAATTCAACTATTACTTCAATATGGCTTCTATGTCAAAAACTTGATTAAACAATTGAAAGACTCATTTGTTTTCATAAAACTGAATGAACACAAAAGTAGTAAGAGTATTTTTAGCACAAAAAATGTGAAACCAAAGTATTGTTGCTCTAAAAAAACTGATAACTTTCTATGATAATCTTTTATACCTGCAACGAATTGGTGTGTAAATATTATTAAATTCTCTTTATCATTAGGTCGTTATATTGGAAACGACAAAAGTTTATATGCCTTCGTACGTGAATGTCAATATGGGAGCCGAACAGAAATCTGTAGAGATTTTTAATCTGTGCCTTGATTCAATGCGTGGCGATTGTAGGCAGGTTCATCGATGGCTCTTCACGTCTGACATGATACGAACATATAGGTAATTTATATATTAGTATATAAAGTTGATATAATTATATTAAATAATATGATATTAGTATAATGTAAAATTCTCTAGTAGAGGTGGTTGTGAAAAAATATCTTATAAGAATATAGTACTTGCTTACTAGTTGATCTACTATATGCTAATAGTTTAGTAGGTATTTCAAAAATATCTATGTTAAATTTACAGTTTATACAAGCGAGACGAGCGCTGCCTCTTCCTGTATGTGAGTGAGAACTCAGATGATTTCCAAATCTTTCTTCCGTCTCACGCCTTCAGACAGCATCTGTACGATCTGTTGAACGAACTCACAGCTGATCAAGAAAAAATGACGGATCTGGATACAAGCATGATGCAAGATCAGCTTAAGGTGAAACAGAGATAATATATAGTATAGATAGATAGATAAGAATAATATAGAACTAGATTTATAGATAAAATAGTGCTGGAAATATTGGAAAGATAAATATCGGAATACCTTTCAAAGACTAGATAGTACAACAAATGATTTATTGAAAAAATTGTTAATGTTTAGCTAGTCATACTAATTGAAAAAAATCTGTTCTTGATATATTCATAGTTAACTTGCATGGACATACATTAAAGCATAATAAAAAAATTAATAGAACTAAACATAAAGTAAAATAATTAAGATACATCTGTTCCTTTAATACAGCCACAAACTAACAGATACAAAAAGAATGACTTAATTTAATTGTGATCTAAATTTATGATTACATTCAGGTAGTTGTTTGAGGATTTTTCTTTAATTATACTGATATGTGTCAATTAAAAGAGATTACTAAATACCAAATATTGCAGTTATGAAGTAGCATACATATAAAAGATACATATAATATTTAGAAAATTTTTCTTTTAATTACGTTATAATATGTTTAAACTTGATTTCAGTTTGAATACGAGTTGGATGACAGTAATAAGCGTGTAGTACTGGGCAAGGGTACATACGGTGTGGTGTACGCCGCCAGAGATCTCAACACACAAGTCAGGATCGCTGTCAAGGAGATACCTGAGAGGAATCTGGGGGATGTGCAGCCTCTACACGAGGAAATATTACTACATTCACAGCTGAGGCATAGGAATATAGTGCAGGTATACACACACACACACACACACACACACACACACTCATATATATATATTGTTAGAAAAGAAAACACTTTATGCTTTTTAAAATAACATTCACCAGCCAGTGCCTGATGTATTAATAATATTCAAGACTAATTAGGGTTTATAAATGCTATATTTAGACATCCTTCATATTATGTGTTATTCTTACTGGGTTTGTTTTGGTTGATAAGTATATTTTGAATCATTTCAATTTGTAATTTTATGTTATAGTAATGCATAAAGATTATACATATTTTTGTGATATGAATGTTTAAAGTTTTATATAATTTTCATAATTTAGACTTTAGATAGAAAACAAATTGGTATTTAATTTGTATTATATTTTTATACAAAGACACGAAAAAAACGCTAACATAGATTTCATACTAGAATCCTAACTATAGAAGCTCATCTTAGTTTATAAATGAATTTTGATTAACAAGAATGTTTGTAATATTTTTAAAGAATTTTGATTTTCTTATACAAATTATTGCAATATACAGGGTGACTGGTGAATTACTATCGATATTTGAGGACGTGATATTTGACGATCATATATGACAAAATAAAAATTAATATAACATAAATATTAATAAACTTCTAAGTAAAGTTAACCAAAAGTTATGTAATTAATTACGCATCGTATGAACACCCTACAGATTAGGTATACACACACACACACACACACACACTCGCGCGCGGCGGCGTGTTGTTGTATCAGCACGCTGCCGCACGCGTCCACACTTGGAACACTTGGAACGTGTACACACTTTATTTATTTATACGGAAATTTGGTCAAAAATTAAGTACCTATTTTTTTTACATAATTCGAATGAGAATCATGTACCGAGTATGCTCCTTAAATATTGGTAGTAATTCACCAGTCACCCTGCATACATTGCAATAATATTTTCTAAATATGTTTTATTTTATTTTCTTTGTTATTAACTTTATCATATATATTTTTGCAGTATCTGGGTTCAATATCCGAAGACAATTACTTCAAGATCTTTATGGAACAAGTGCCAGGAGGTTCCCTCTCAGCACTATTAAGGTCCAAGTGGGGACCACTCAAAGAAAACGAAGCCACTATAGCATATTATACAAAGCAAATTCTAGAAGGTATTTACTTGATAGTTATTTCATTTAAATTATTTATCGATTCAAATCTATGAAAATGATTATTATTATATAGACATTATATATTTTTAATCATAATACTTTAAAACATGTACTACGCGATTTTTATTTTTGATTATAAAAATAAAATGAATACTCGAAAATCTTAGATCTCATTTCCTAAAAACACTCCAAAATGTTTTCTTTTAATGGATATAATGAAGGAAATCCTATAATAAATATATAGATATTAAATTTGTTATATATTCAACAGGTTTAAAGTACCTTCATGATCAGAAAATAGTCCATCGTGATATCAAAGGAGATAATGTTCTAGTGAACACATACAGTGGGGTTGTCAAGATATCTGATTTTGGTACATCCAAACGATTGGCTGGCTTGTGTCCATCAACTGAGACCTTCGCTGGCACACTACAATATATGGCACCAGAGGTCATTGATAAAGGACAAAGAGGTTATGGTGCTCCGGTGAGTTTGAAAAATATATTTTTCTATATTTATTACAATATTATATGTATTGTTATTACAGCTTATTAAGTTATTACAGCTTATATTAAATTTGCCCCAGTTCTGCTCTTGTGGAAGAAAAAAAATTGTTTTATATGAATTTAAACTAATATTTACATGTGATGTTTTGGATCATAAATTAATTTCAATATACATATATTAGATATTTACTTACTGTAACTTATTCCAGGCCGACATTTGGTCACTTGGTTGCACAGTAGTAGAAATGGCGACCGGCAATCCACCCTTTATGGAATTGGGATCACCTCAGGCAGCTTTATTTAAGGTATCAATACATCTGTATACTTATTCTTCTTCTAACTTGCAGTTTTCCCAGCTTTAGCTAAGGTCTGCCTTACTTGTTGTGAATAGTTTTGGCTAATTGTTTTTACGATCGGCCGCCTGCATTAATCAATGATATCTAAATACTCTTAGAAAGTACATATGACTCGGAAAAATCACATTGGTACTTGCCATGATCGAACCCGCTTCCTCATGAATGAGAGGCGGGCCTTTTAACCACTAGGCCACCACTGACTACTAATTATTTATTAGATAATTATTTTCATTGTAATCTCCGATAACTTTAAGCTTTGAACTAAATTTGTATCACAATGTATATATTTTTTACTCGTTTCAACTTCAAAACTAGTAAAACTTACCCACAATATCTCAAACGTATTATATTTAGATCAATATAAGAAATAGTGAGGGAAAGTTTGATATTAATTTGTAATTTTTTTTCAGGTGGGTTATTACAAAATGCATCCTGAAATACCAAGTGAATTATCACTGAAGGCAAAGAACTTTATACTACGCTGCTTCATCACCGACCCTGAAAAACGAGCGACGGCCGCTGAATTATTGGAAGATCCGTTCTTATGCGAGTCAGTATAAACTACATTAAATAATTAATATAATAAAATATATAATAACATCACACACACACACACACACATACACACATATGTATATATATATAAAATGTGCATGTACAAAATAGTCATTCCATCTCGCTTTGTCCCTTTCTATCTCCTCTCCGAGAGCGTTAAATTTAACGCAACTTTGTTGAAAGTTTCCTAAGAAGTTTCACTTCCACATATATCGGACATAAGAACTTGTATTGAGATTAAATTTTCACTACTTTCATATAATAATGTTCCATTAATATGATTTCAGGAAGAAAAAATCAACGAATCGCGTCGGTAACAGCGTTGACTACAGCCGCAGTATATCAGTTCCCGCCGATAAGATTCGGACATCTGTTGCGCAGAAGAAAATATCAGAACCTAGTTTACAAGCAACATTACCAAGCTCACCGGAGATTGAGTAAGTTATATAGTTAGTTATAACAGTAGTATATTAAAATAAATACAGCATGGATTTAGTCACGTTTTTAGTACACTTGCATGGTAAGGTATTCCTATTTCCTCTTCAGTCAAACGTTATATCATATGGGTAAAGGAATAAATATCGTACTAATGTGGAAATACATTTTCATTTCATATGACATAAATGGGTGATAAATATTCATCAAGAATTAGCAAAATATATGTTTTTATACGTCGCCTTAACCCATTAGTGCTAGATAAATTTTAAGATCATTTTAATGGAAAGTTAGTGTAATTTGGGATCATAATTATTCTTATTATTCTGACTACTATTACATAATAAATTTCTTATTAAAACATTGCAACTATTTAAAATTTCTAGTGTGGTTTGAAATACTATGGTTTGAATTGAAGCGATCATAACAGCGATAAAAGCGAAATTAACATTATAATTAATAAAATATAGATTTCCACTAAAAAATTGATGACACGAAATAATTCTAAACGGGTTAAAACTAACAAAACTAAATTAACCCGCCCGATAGTGTGCTAAGCGTATATTTGTTTGAAAAAGGGTTAAAACGATCCGGTCTAACCCGACAATCACTAGGACGGCGTCGTCAATGCTGTCGCCGATACTGATATACCCACCGGATCTATCAAACAGCAGGTAACACATTGGATACTATGTTTCTATATGAACAAAGTAAATATATATAAAAAAATAATAATAAGGGTGTATTTACATTTGCGATTTTTCGCAAATACATAAGGGTGCATTTCCACTAGCGACTTTAAGACGGTAACTATGTAAAGTGTATTAATTTTATTAAGAATAATAAATCGTCTCTATGTTCTAAATGTATCGATATTTTTTTGTATTACACATTTGATTTTTGAACTACATACATTTACTTGTGGAAAAACAACCTATTAAATAGAAAAAATAATGAATATTAATTATTAAAACAATATTACCTTGTGTTAATATCAAAATGGTTGTGTCGTATGTAAATATTGTATTCGATGTATTTTTTTTGTGCTATACTTTCTATCACGTACTAACAACACGCAAAATTCACGAGCTATAATTATATCACGCCAAAGCTTTTTTTTCTAACATTTTATTCAACGTATTGCTTATTAAAATGTATGTTATATTTAAATAGTATTATATCCCTGTATAATTATTCTTGTTTCAGTACAATGCCGAATACACCATCCACCGATGAAATGGACAATAACGATACTATACTCAATAGAAGAAGTTCATCCGGAGGGCTTTTGTCGCCTGAGGTATATATTAAGTATTTATTACAGAAATTCATATACATTAGGGTCAATTTTATTATGATTTCATTTATATTTATGATAATTAAATAAAGTTTCATCAAAATAAGTTCAATCATTAAAAAAAATATTAAAAAAGTTTGTTTGGTGTTATGTAAGACATTACGTAGAAACGCTTGGAAGTGCACGTGTATTTAAAATAAAGACACTTTAACTTATTTTTTTTACATTCCTCTTATTTTTTTTTTAATTTATTTCATTTGTCCAAGTAACAATGACTCACTTAAAAATAATACACAAATTGTAACAATATAATACAACAATAATATAATTAATTAATTAATTAGCTAAGCGGCTGAGCCGCACATACGCAACTTACCGCTGTACCATTCCGTGAGATATGGCCCCGCAGCGATTCACGTATATACAGTCCAACCGATTAATACTTTAATGAAAGTTTCATCAATGTCGATTCATTGAGAACTATCTATACTTTTATATTTTATATCTTATGTAAACTCGCTAATCATAAACTTGCTATAACTAATACATCTATACCAATATTATATAATACATATAACATTATTTTCAGGTGGATATGACAAACGTACCTCGATCCTCCATCGACATAGAACACGACGGTTTCTATCTGCTGAAGAAGGACTCGCAGCGCCGTCTTACTCTATCACGTGTGTTAGAGCAGGACAGCGAGAAGATCTGCTCTAAGTGGATGCTGAGCATACAACAGGATTTTGGCAACACTGTACTCACTATGGTGAGGCAAAAATATATTCACAACTTATTTTTATATTTGAAACTAGTTCTTGCCCGTCGTCTTGTTTGCATCAGTTTCAAAATTGAGTGTGATAGGAGCAGTAAATAAGAACATTTTGGATTTTACTTAGTTAATTTATTTTGTTTTTCGGTGGAACGGAATGAGCAGTAGGTATCCTATCTCCTGGTTCTGAGCTAGCCCCATGAATTTTTATTCAAATCCGTACAACCGTTTATTTTTTTATTGGAAATAGTTACACCATCAACTTATCACTAACACATTCAATTAGCAGTAGATACAGGGTATTAAATCTAGGTGAATAAATCATTACAGGTGTAAACAACATTGACCTTAAGATAAGACTATACTAACCTAATTTTATCTTTACTAAAAAACAAAAAAAACAAACTATAGATAATTAAACAAAACATAAAATAAAATTTAAATACAACAACAAAAAGCTACAAGGGTTGACATAATTTAATATATGAATAAAATGAGAAATATAAAATTTACAGAGCTTCACAAAAGTTCTCTTGCTTTGGGCGAAGATGTCGATATTGCCGTTAAAAAATATTCATTATAAGAATTAATAATTCTGTTGAGGGGTGCATGTTTGCCTAAATTTGTTTTAAAAGCTGTAGTTCTGAAAGGTTTTTTTAATGGGTTTCTAGGAATTTTGTGGGGAATAAGTAAATTGATTTATTAAAGTAGTTCAGATGACATTATTTGACCATGGATTAGTTTGTTTAGGGTCAAAACATCGCTGATTTCACGACGACTTAAGTGATATCATTTTAAAATGTTTAAGCCCATTATTGTAGTTAGCGCGATAAGGACATCTAGTATCCTTGTATGCAAGAAAACGGGTAAAATTTTGTTGTATTCGCTCTAGTCTTTCGATATGAGTGTTATAAAATGGGTTCCAGATATTTGATGCATACTCTAAATTGGAACGTACAAGAGAATTATAAATGCAGAGCAATGAGCGAGTATTCTTAAAATCCTTGCATGTTCTTTTTATAAATCCTAACATTTTCCTAGCTTTAGATATTATTTTGTATAAATGATTAATAAAATTTTAATTGCTATCGATAAGTATACCTAAATCTCGAATTGAATTAACTTTGGATAGAGGATCGCCAGATATAGAATATTTAGATAATATTGGTTTTCTGCAACCGTTCTTGACTTATAAATAGTGTTAACTAACAAGACTTCCTTATGTATATGATATTCTTATGGGATCTATTCCCTTGTAATGGAAAAATCGCAGTTTTTAATTTACTTAATTTTAATTAGTTTTGTTTTCTTAATATTAAAAATCAAATGGCTTCAATTCTATGACACGATAAATTTAGTACCCTTGCGTAATTCGATACATTTGTTTTCTTAGTGAAATGTGTTAAAATTAATTGTCTATATTAATGTAACTCTATATAAATTTCAGAATCACTTGGAGACATTACGCTGCGCCTTGAAAGAGTACATCATGGATCAAAACAGAAACGTTATAGAACGTGCTATAATAACACTTAAGGAGGATTTAGATTTCGACTCCAACGCTATAAACGAACTTCACTCAGCTATATACATGTTTCAAGAGGCGGTCAATGTTGTGTTGAGAATGCACAGTATTAAACCACACTGGATGTTTGCCTTGGATAACTTAGTTAGGAACGCTGTACAAGCGGCGATTACTGTTTTGTCACCGGGTAATTACATTTTTTACTATTAGTATTGTACTAGATAAAATTTGACAATCTCGGCGGCCTTATCGCTAACGAGCTATATAATATATTTTATGTAAATTTGATTAGATACAAAACTATATAAATTTGCATTAATTTTCAATATTATAAGTGCAGAGTCAATCATGTGATTGATTTTGGACAAATAACTTCATATTTAAGAACAAAATTTTCAAGTTATCACCTACAATAACCATAAAAAAAATACTATATAAATATAAATGTAGCCTTTATTTCATTAAACATAAGGTGTATTTTCATAGAGCTGGGTGCTAACCTAGCCGGTCAGGAGGCTGAGCGTCGTAGTGGACCAGCGGACGCGTCTCCATCGGCTCTATCCACTGAGACTTCCACCAGAGATCCGTTAACACTACATCATCTAAGACAGGACAACCACAAGTAAACAGTCTATTCTTCTTCCTGGCAAATTCCCAGCTTTAGCCAGGATCTGCCTTACATGTTGTGAATAGTTTTGGCTAATTGTTTTTACGACTGGCCGCCTGACATCAACCCTCTTTGAGAAATATTTGGATCTTTACGAAATCAGAATAAATAGATATCTGTATATATAGTCAATAGATAATATACTAGTTTTTGTCTGCAACTTTGTCTGCGTAGACTTTCGAATTGTCAATTGTGTTAAAACTAAGGATATGGTTATCTATAGCCCGTGTCAGGTGCCACGTACACAATATAAATGTTAAGCATGATACATTATAGCTCATGTCTCATTTGATCTCACTGAGAAGTTTCATCAAAATCAGTTTAGAAATTTTTGTGTAGAGATATCTATGATGTTGAACGAATATACTTGATGGCAATTGAATTATTAGTTACAAATACACATGCTATATTTTTCTAGTATGAAATCTCTCTTAATTTGTTTAATTTAGGTTTTTAATTCATATTGAAGTATTGAAGCAATGTAGAAACAAATAAAAATTATTAGTATTCATATTTTCTTTATAAAATTTTCAGATTACAACAGGAACTAATTGAGAGTTATCAACAGTACCAAGCTCTGCTGCGAGCGATGTTGGACGAACAGAAGTCACAGACGCTGATATTAAAAGAAATCATAGAAAACAAAACCACGTTAGTATTAAATTTCATAAATACTTTCAAAATCAACAAATATTGAATTTCATCACCATAACAGAGCCGTGTTTATTATCGTGAGAAGTGAAAGAAATAAGTTTTGTTAGTACATACTATATATCGAAATTTATGTACTTATATACAGGGTGACTGGTGAATTACTATCAATATTTAAGGAGCATACTCGGTACATGATTCTCATTCGAATTATGTAAAAAAAATTGGTACTTAATTTTTGACCAAATTTCCGTATAAATAAATAAAGTGTGGACACGTTCCAAGTGTTCCAAGTGTGGACGCGTGCGTGTATACCTAATCTGTAGGGTGTTCACACGATGCGTAATTAATTAGGTACATAACTTTTGGTTAACTTTACTTAGAAGTTTATTAATATTTATGTTATATTAATTTTTATTTTGTCATATATGATCGTCAAATATCACGTCCTCAAATATCGATAGTAATTCACCAGTCACCCTGTATAATGACAAAATTAGTCGTGGATAAATTGTATTAATACTAGCTTTCCGCCCGCAGCTTCGCCCGCGTGGAGTTCGGTTACATCGCGTTTCCAAGAGAACCTTTCAAAATTCTGTGATAAAAACTATCCTATGTTCTTTCTCAAGGTCAACTCTATCTTTACTAAATTTCATTAAAATCAGTTCAGTGGTTTAGGCGTGAAAGCGTAACAGACAGACAGACAGAGTTACTTTCGCATTTATTATGTTAGTAGGGATAACAAAAGTAGTCGTGAATATATATTAATATTAAATATAGATTATTACCAACCTTGAAACATAAATATAGCTATTTATATAGTAACCCTAAAATAGTACAATTTGAACATCCAAGAATCATCTTAATAATTATTATTTTTATTTATTCAGATCAGCTGATCAGTCAGATGAACACATAGATCCAGTACAGCTGTCAGCCCTCAAGTCGTGGGTGTCTTCATGCGGGGTCCCCGAGGAGGTGGCTCAAGCCCTCGCCGCTCAAAACTATCACTTGGACGACCTGCTGCATCACGCTGAGAGGGAGGATCTGGCGAGACTTAGACTTAAGTATGACATAGACTTAGACTTAAGTATTTTATGTGAAAGGTGGCAAACAAGCAGACGGCCTGCTTGATGGGCAATAGTCACTCTCACCCATGTACATCAGTAACATCTCTGTTGCGGATGCGTTGGCAAGCTTAGTCCTCGAAGAAGGGAAGAATGGGAATATGGAAATTGCAGGAAATGGTGGGAACAGAGAAAGGGGAACCGGCTCTCTCACTTGTCGGACGAAATTAATGACTATTTCACAGTTCTTCTGTGAGTGTGCGGTATTTCCCCCGTCAAGCCAGCCCATGTTCGAGCTGTAGTTACTTGACTACAGCTAGGCTCTACCACCTTATGTGTAGACTAGCTGCGCCCCGCGGTATTACCCGCGGATTTCTGGCATGTAAAGTAGCCTATGTGTTATTCCTGGACGTCAGCTTCCTGTATACAAAATTTTATCAAAATCGTTTCAGCCGTTTGAGCGTGAAGAAGTTACAAACATACACACACACTCACAAACTTTCGCAATTATAATATTAGAAGGATATATGTCAAACAAACTATAATATGAAGTCTTTATTATAAGTTGTAATAAGGCAGTAAATAATAAAATTGTATATCGTCAGGGATAGTGCAAATCCGCGTAACTACCATTGGATAATTCCGCATATCTACATTTGAAGCATAATCAAAAAAAAGTTTAAGGTGATATATTTTTTATATTAACGACTTATGAGGTTATTTTTTCACAATTTCTTTAAAAGTCGTTAATTTAGAAAATATTTCAGCTAAAACTTTAATAATAATCTACTTCCAATGTAGATGTATTTGTTCATTTCACTTCCAATGTACTCAGAATTATTCAAACTGGAGAAAGTCAAAGAAAATAAAGTTTTTTATATGTCTAAATTAAATAATAAATCAATTTTTGTTCGTATTGTTTCAGAGGCGGTGTGGAGTTGCGTCTATGGCGCGCGATCCTCGAGCATCGCGCTCAGAAGAATCATTTACGAAGAACGAGCAGCACTGAAACAGATATAGACAACACTATAGTAGTGGTCGAATGTCAGAAGTGCAAAACACCCCGGTCCGCGACCACGTGCTCGAATAACCCGACTATAGTTATAAGGGAACAGAAGAACGGCGACGATGTAGCCGAGTATTACGCCGAGAACGGGGTTGTCAACCTCTGACTATCGCGTGGGTGGTGCACCCTACAGTGAGATTTAAGCGTGGACATTAACGAGTGACACATTAATAATTTAATCAACAAATATAATAAATCAGTGGTCAGTTCGATATGGAATGACTATAATTATATATATAACCCATATCAGGGCTTATTGAAGTGAGCCATAATATGTATGTACTTATTATATTTACATTAAATCTTGAACAATATATTAGAATAAGTCGTGTGTCCTTAAAATATTATATGATTGTTATTGTTAAAAATTGTTAATCGGCTTGCCGCTTAAAGCTTGAGTGTATCACCCATAACATGTACATAGAATATTTACACAAAAATTATAACTAACTAGTCTTGTAAATAATTATGGAGGCATAATAAATATTTTATAAACGCACAAGTGCGTTATATACATTATATAAAGTGAAATATTTGATAATATTCGTCATTAAGTCAAAGCTCCAATACGTAATGGTGCTACTGTAATTTAAAGTGCCTTTTAAATAATACGCTTCTTACAAAGAATATTACACGTTACAATATAGTTTCATGATATAAGTTGTTCAAAACAATGTACTATAAGTAACGATTCAGATTCATAACTGTCAATGTGCAAAATAAATTAAGTTTAAATCATAAATTTAATTTAAATTAAACCATCCATGGTAACATAGATACAATAATATTTAATTATTCGTGCCATACATGTAACATAGATTTATTTACGTATTTCTTAATAATAAGTGTAAGGTTATATAGTGAGTGTGTTGGTATCGTTTTATTGATCTTTAATATATTTACAGTTATTATATACAAAACGTTATAATTGCAGTTATTTATATATGTATACATTGCTTCTGAATTATTCATATATATACATACATGTATTGCAAGAAGTCAATAAAAGCCTTATCTACTATTAAAAATATATGACGATCAAATAAAAATATTTATATGAAGTATATATTCAATTTACGCAAAGTAAGATTGTATTTTTCGATATTATAAGCGAGTTATATGAAAGAAAATTAAAATTTGGTTAATTTTGTCAATTAATTCGGTTTAGGCCAGTTTTTGTTTTTATGTAAAATCGAATCACAAACTTTATTTTTTTCTTTTCTTTTTAACACATTTTTGTGTATGGATTCTAAAATTTTGTAGTTAAACATACATAACAGAAAAGCAAAGGAAAATTTGATTTATAATTGGAATGGAAATTGTCAGTAATGGAGTTGTATTCAAATATTTTAAAGAATGATAAGCAAAGAAGAATTATCTAAAATAAAAAAAACTCTTCACAACTCAAAACACAATAATTTTTTTGGACAAATTAGACCAATTACAGCCTTTCACTTTCCAAAATATGAAATTTCCATTCCAATAATTTTCCAATCAGTCATAATATTTGTATGAAATTTATATTAAGTAAAAGCGCAGCTTAATAAAAATAATTAACTACATTAAAAAAAAGTTATAAGGCGTATACTTATTACTAATTTTCTCATCGTTTAAGACAATCACATGAGATGTAAGGAAGCAGAGAATTTGGTATAAGAATAATAAAAATATTTATACTGTAGTTTTAATATTGTTGTATAACAATGTATTGTTTTTGATACGCGTAGCTCAGCACTACCCTAACAATACTCAATAATTCTGTTGTGAAGTACAAATACATTATGTTATTGATACAACCACTTTTATTTTCCCCTCATGAGAAGTAATCGTCAAGGTAAGCCGATTTTTGTACATACATACGAGTACATACGTCATACATATATTCCTATTAATATTATAAATGCGAAAGTAACTCTGTCTGTCTGTCTGTTACGCGTTCACGCCTAAACCACTGAACTGATTTTAATGAAATTTGGTACAGCGATAGAGTTGACTTTGAGAAAGAACATAGGATAGTTTTTATCCGAGACTTTTGAAAGGTTCTCTTGGAAACGCGATGTAACCAAACTTCAGGCGGGTGAAGCTGCGGCCGGAAAGCTAGTATGTATATATATTGCACTTGTCCAGGACTATTGGATAGACCACATTGAAATATTTAAGTCTTAGAAAAAAGTATTGATGAGTCTAAATTCGATTAACGATTTTCGCTTGTACTCATTAAAATGAAACTAAGTTTTTAATATTTTTTTAAGTAGTCTGAGCTATTAAACGATTAATATTTTTATAAGCTTTACGTGTTCAGGGATATTTTACTTGGGCATGTGATAACTTCGTTAAAATATCAAACAGTTATTTTTAATATCAAATTACATTGTTTACAGTTGCAAAGATTTGCAATAAAAAAAATGTAAGAAAAAATAGGCAGAACAAAATTTAAGCGAAATATGGAGTTATTACTAAATTACCAAAATATGATTCCATAATAAAACTGAATAGCACACGAATAAGAAAGTAATTTGAATAAGCTAGCAAAACAAACGAGTCGATATTGTTACAATTTAAGATCTCCCCCGGGCTTATCAAGACGTAATACATTAATTCGCCCTATGTTTGTGGACTCGTGTATATTCTAATTTACATATATCGCGAAACGAATCAACTGACGTCATGTAAGTTAGATGACTTTCAAATCAAGACATTTATATGCATTATGAAATTAATAAAATATGTAAATTACACAAAAATTGCAACGGTGATATGTTATATGTTAGTAATGATGTGTATTATTTAATTTAGTTTCATATTTAGAGACGAAATATCTCAGCATTCCTTGGATTCAACGTGCTAGTGACGGGTCCATCGTTGCAGGGAGAGGAGCCTCAACAGTTCCTGGGACTTGCGACCCAAGTGTAGGTTTAAGGGGAGGCTATGTAATAGTCTTATCAATCATATGTAGAATTAAATACCGAGAAAATGAAAAGTATTTTTCAAATTCGATTTACAGAAACTCAATATATTTATGTATATAAAGTATGTAGTTTAGACGAAAAACATTATTTTTTTACATAAAAAAAAACTGAATCTCTTAAGACTTGAGAGAAGTATTACGTTACCACACAACAAGTGTTAGTACTCCATCATAAAACCGATTTCAATACATTTTATATCGAATCAATTTACAATAAATTTAATTGAATTCAAATCGATTAGTTTGAATCAGTTCTTAAATGAATTTATTTATGGAACACACAAAAATATACAATTGAATTGTGTACCCCTCGGTATAGAATTTTGTTAAAAAATCGATAAATAAAATGAAATCAAGGGAGAAATCTAGGCTTATATTTGTTTGTTTTTATCAAACGTGCTTAGAATTGAGACTCTAATAATTTAAAAATGGTTACTTAGTTTCATAAAACAGTTTGATATATTTATTATAGAATATTGTGATAATATGAATAGATTTGCTACGTTTCACATTTGTACCTAAACATCACACTGGGCTGGAGGTGAAATAGGTTGAGAATGTTTATTGAGAAAGCCATTTAGTAAAGTGATTTTGCTATTAGTTGTAACGTAATTTAATCCTCAATTATGACTATCAAAACCACAGTCTTGTTTGTATAACTCAAAATGTTTACACTGACTTAGGATAATATATAGCTAGTTATATAATATATAATATATTTTGTGTGTAGTCTGTACGTAGATATATACTTTACATATATTATAATTATCTATCAAGATTCTAAGTTGTCGTAACTGTCAGTCTACGAGAATTTTTTTCATCGTTCATGGAAAATATTTTATAAAACTTAAATTTCTATCTTTAATATTTAAGTTAGGTATACAAAACATAAGTAGATACTTATTGAGAAAAAGTTTTGCAATAAGAAATGCTAATGAGGTAATTAGTAAACAGTTTAAGAATAAACCTTTTATTAGATGCTTTGTGAGAGTAAAAGTTTGCTAAAACAGTAGGGTGGATGTCTACTCAATTACTGGAGCGTCTTAATTATATTAGATATGCTCGGGACTTCGGATTTGAATTTCAATCGAGAAGCCCAAACCCGTGTCAGACAGACGAAAGAATTGTTAATTTTATTAGATGCGCCCGAAGGCGTTTTGATGTAAATCGAGTTCTGATCTTATTACACTTAATTTTATATGCGATCTTATTAAGTTGCTACCATTTAGCTATAACTCCGATACTATAAGACGTTCGAGATTGTTTATTTCTTCGTTTACAGTTTGAATAAATTATAAAATATTTCAAATAGAAAACCTCTTTGAAATTTAATACACCAGTGTACTTAAAGTATTTGTAACAGCCTTAATAGTCGTAAATTGTCTGGAAATACAGCGATTGCGAGTTTGCATACTTACAAATTTTAACTCAAGAATATATTTTGAATTCGTTATTCTGAATAAAGTTTTGTATATTTTATATTTATAAAGTTTGAGGATAAAGTACCTTAAATTAACAATTATACTGTATAATTTTATAAATTGATGCGGGCTCGTTCGTACAATTTGTAAATATTCAATTTATTTAAGACTATTGTCCAATAAACGGAATTGGTCTCTTAGCGTTTGTTTTTAGTGACTCCTGCTTCACATATGCACGCAGTAGACTCCTGGCAGTGAACCAAAACGTTGTTACTTGCATAATGTGGAGTTATATGAAGCTCGAGATCGGTAAAGCGGAACCCTGCCGTCTGGCCCTGCCCTAAGCAATTTGAACAAGTGATGCACAAACGATCCCACCTCAAACGTTCAGGGCCTTAGATTATCTTGTAATAAGCTTTGTTGTGCTATAAGCCGTCTTCTCAGTTTATTTTAACTATACCACATAGTTCTCATTTGTTTATACTCTTTGTCTGATAAAAACTTCCCGGGAAATGATGAAAACTGTTAGTTAAATTTTTAATTGAAACGACAGCAAAAATATATTGTTGTATTAGAAACTATAGGTGGTTATATTTACCCTTGGATTTTATAAGAGAAATATAAAGAAACTTTGTTTATTATGATAGCAAGTAATATCATTATTATTAGTTTACAGATACTAACCATCCCAAGAGATGAAAATCAAATCGATTGAAC